TGAAAGGTCTGGCTGACCTCCCACTTCTTGCTCTGCAATTCCCAATGGCCTCCTTATGTTCCAGCAGCCAGGATTGTGCAGTTCCATGGCTGCACACACCTTGAGCCCACCCTGTCCAGCTGGATCCTACTTCATCCACCTTCACAAGCAGCTCTACATCCTCCTTCCCTTCAGATGTTTCCCATCCCAGTCTGCTCAGGCCATCTTCCTAATAATCCACCCTCCCAAAATGAAAATGATGCCCTGTAAGTATAACAGGCTGAACTATTTCTTAGTGCAAGAGACGTGAAACAAACTCCTTCAGCAGGAAAGATAGGTTGTAACACACAGCTGGTTTTGAACTGAATTTCACCTCTTCATTTTAGAATTGTGGAGAAGTTTCCTTGTATTTGAGGGTAAAGCTGCACTCCTGGCACTGAATTATTGCCAAGGTACTGCTGCAGTTTCTGACGAAGGAACCCCCCAAGATGCCACAGAACGGAACAGGAGAAGACATGAACAGTAATACAGGGAAATAATGTAAAGGTCAGAAGAATGAACCTTGGGATGAAAGTTTGGGAGATACCTGAGAAGAGAAAGTACTGTGGAAGAGACTTCACTGCTTGGAGAAGGACATGTGTAAGGGGAAAAAGCAAGCCTCTCAGATACTGGAAAGAAAGAAGCTGAGTCATCCCCCAGCAATGCTGGAAGAGAAATTTTTGCTGAGGTGACAGAGGGAGGCACAAAGCTGCAGCATCTAGGCCCAAGCAGACAGACTTCTCCCAGTCTGCCTGGAGCAGTCTTGGAAAACATAAACCTCTGCTTTGGCTGACTGGATGTCTACCTGTTAAAGATGTAACTGGCAGTGGCACAGCCACCTAAGCCACAAGACAGCAAAATGCATCCATGCATTCACCTGAGTAAACCAGAGACACCTCTCAGTGTGCAGCTGGGAAACAGCTGGTTTTCTGACTGATGCAATCCAATTCTTACAGGCTTTTATTTCCCCCGAAACCAGTTTAGTCAAGTTTGAGCTAGAAGACAGTCGACTGTGAGCAGAGGAAGAGACGAGAAGGGGCTGACCTGTGAGAGGCCTCCCAGATGAAGCCCTCAGCACCCTGGAAAGACTTTAAAGAGGAGCTATTTTATCGCCTTTTGGTAAATGTGCTCCAGCATGGCAAAGCAGGAGTAAAAGAAGCTGAACTCCCAAACCCATTCGCCTTCCTGACACGTCAGCAACCTTTCCCCACCACTCTCCCCAAGGCCTTTTTAGGCACATGGTGTCAAGCTTCCCACAATCAAACACAGGGTCCTGCTCAAGTTCTGTGGCTGACACAATGTTTGTGCAGCTAACTTAGCTTCCACCCAGGCATGTAGTCAGGGTGCTGCTGGCAGGTTGGGCTCACCTGCAAGTCCGGCAGCTGCTGGCTGTGGGGAAGGGTCCTGTCCACCCGGCCACAACACAGGTTAAAAAAAGAAGCCAAGAAAATTGTTGATTATGAACTTCATAAACTATTTGAGATGGAAGCCGAACCTCGTTTAGGCTCTGTCCTAAGCTCACCCCACCCTCCTCTGAGGCTAGGTTATGTTTAGATTATATTACTTAGTACTAAAGTGAAGTACACCAGCCCAAATAAGACTTCTAAACACATATGCAACTACACTATATGCATACCAAGGTATGTCAATAGGAGGTAATTAATTATTTATTTCCTATAACTACATGATTACTGTGAAAATTTACTTTGAATTGATCCTTGTCAGGTAATAACATCCTGCCTCTTCTAGCCTCTGCATTTCAAGTGATTCATGGACTGTAAAAATAGAATACTTTCCCCAAAAAGACATACAAATGAAAGTCTGTGTGGACTTCTTGCTGCTGGGTAGTAATTATCTATTCAATTACATGGCTCCATTCTCTGCACTCTTTAATACAGAAAAAAGATGCTTTTCCAGATGAAACAATCCTCAAATGTCTCCAAAACCAGAGCTACTGATTACTGTTTCTCTGGCTGCAGAATGAAAGGTACTGCAATCTGAAAGTAAGCGGTAGAAAATCTTGCTCTACAACAAAGGAATTACAGGAGTTTAAACAAGAGCCATATTTTCTTCCTTTATAGCTTTGTATTTCTCATTTTCTGCCACAAAAAAAATGTCCCAGTGGACCAGATATATGTATGGCTTCTTCCTGTTGGTCTAAGTAAGGGTTTGCATGTTTGCCCAAGGGCCATAACAGAAGAGATGTTGCTTTCTGTTCTGTAATTTCACCGTAGGCATCATCCAGGTCACAACCAATCTTGCTACACTGGAAAGATACATCCGGTGTCTGTTATTGTTTTTTCATGATGAATTTCAGGAATAAATTAACTTGTTGTATGTTTCTAATTATATTAAATCTCCACTGCAAAGATACAGAGATTTTAAATGAGATTAAATCTGCAAGATCCTGAGTTCCTGTAGATGACTCTACCATGAGTGCATCTCATCTTTGAAAAGGAGATGTTTGACATACTTGCAAATATTGGACTGACATAAACTGATTAACAAAATTCTTTTGTGAATTCTTCTCCTATGCTTATTAAAAACATAATTGCTCACATTTGAAAGAATGATGTTATGCTTAAAATGATTAAGGCGGGGTTGTATCTTGTTTTCTGGTCAGGGCATTAGTTTAGCTATCATAATCCCTGTATGGTTTAAACATGCTGACAACTGTCCCTCTTGATCAAATTGCTTAAACATTTTTCAAAACTCAGGAATTGAGAAACCTGAAATTAACAACCATTATAAGTCATAAAGAAAATAATTGCACCTAAGTAAGCAGATGCTGTAATGCTACTGGCACAAAAGTAGCAGTGGACCCAAGAAAACTAATCTTTACAAAATGAGTTGTGAGCCACAAGACGCCTGGCTGCAAATGTTGGCAGGCGTACTTCTCATAGCAACGGTTTCAGTAATGTGACCTTTCTGTTACCCAGTTTCATGCTGTGTCATTTATCCGAATTATAAGAAGAAAAGTGCTTCTATCAGTACAGCTCAAGAAGGACTGATCTATCCCTTAACACCTAAGAAATGCTTTGTCAACTGTATTGTTCAATCCTTTCGGCCTCAAGTCCAATTACAGGTGCAGCTGGATAGATAATAAAACATAAAACTGTCTTTGCATGTATTTTCTCACAAATACATGGTCTACAGAATACCAAGATACAAGAATCTACTTCCTGCTCATCTGATATGATAGACTAGGTGTTTTGAGATGGTATTAGAGTTGTAAGTACAGCTATTTTTTCAACGGAGCCAAGTCAGACATGCCAAAGATCTGCTTATGCTGCTAAGCAATCTCTTCCATACAAATACCCCTCCAGCAGAAAAGAACCAATAATTGTATATCCTGACAAAATGGTTTCATGGATTATTTCTGAAGTATAGTGTAGGAAAGCAAGGAGCTAACAACTTCCTCTGGCTTAATCTGCACTGCCAAGCTGTTTCCTTGTCACGCTGGTTCTGGTAAATTCTATAAACCAGGAGTGATTACGGAAAACTCATCATGTTTATCTAAAGGACAAACAATATGTTACTTGTATGCCATCATGTGAACAGAAGCATCTTTAGCCAATTTAGGGACCTAATCCTGCTCTGAAGCACAAACCTCACACTGTGGGTGACATGAAGTAAGTGTTACACTTTTATACTGAATTCACATGAAGCAGACAATGGTAAGAGCTGCCATGCTAGTGCTTCAGATGCCAGCATCAGCCAGTTCGTGGCCTGTAACACTCTGGAGTTGCCTGGCTCTGGAGGGTTGCAGCAGTCAGTAAATTCAGTTTTCACCTACTTCTCCATGTGTGTTTAGAGTAAGATTAATTTAGGTCTCAACCAAGCAAATGAAGCCAACCAGCTTCATAAAGCTCTGAATACCTATCATTACACCTCCTGTCTAGGTACAGCCATCACAGACATGTTTGGCCACCTCAGTGGAGGTGAGAAGAGGGAAAGCTGGATTCATATTTAAAGCAAACAAGTTAAAACTCCTAATTTTTGTTGTAATGAAATAATTTTGTGAGTTGAAAGCATCTGCTTGAGAGCACCACCAAAAGAGAAAGAGGAAGTGTCCCTGCTCATTCCCTCCTTCTTTACAGTCTGTGAGGGCTCCCTGAGGTAGGGCAGAAGATCACTCTCCTCCTGCAGATGACCACACACACGCAGAGCACAAACGATAAACCCCTGTGTATGAGACAGGTTCTCCCCATGCTTGCTGGCAACTACAGAAAGCTGAATACTTCTCTAACTAGCACTGTCCAGGGTTGGTTTGCTAACAGTCATTTAATCTTTGTAAAATCTAGGGGTTTAAGCAGAAACACCAAATCTCTAGAACAAATTCATCTTTTCAAGCAAAGCACAGCTGATCCTCTGACAGTGAAAAGATAAGCTTAGTGGACTGTGTAACTACAACTGAACAATAAGCTGGCTAAAGGAAGGGTTTATCACAAGGTTATCACTTGTCAGCTTTGAAGGAGGCCGCTCAGCATGAAATGCTGCAGGAACTGGGTGTGCAACTACTGGCAGTTCTTAGTCCTGGGGTAGTATTTACTCTCACTACAGCCATGAAGCCTCTGAGATACTGAGGGAACTGCCTTCTGTCCATGGAAAAATTACTAAAGTAGCGAGAGGGAGACAGACTGCCTTAATGTGAATATTAACTTTGTTCTCTGCTGGTACACAAAAGAGAGAAGTTTTTGTAACTGAAAGAAATCAAACAGAGGGGGAAAAATGAACAGAAAACAAAAGCAACATTGGTCATTTCATTTTGGCACACATCGGGCTGCAATTCTGCTGCCGGTGTCGATGTATTACATGCTGTATAGCTATAAATTTCAGTTGTGTTTGAATAAACATCAGCGTATAGAATTGCTTTGCATCTGTCTAACGCAGTCTGTCTGCAGACAGGAGAGAATTGCTACATTTCTTCGTCTGAATAGCCCCAAAATTAAAAATGTTAGTTGTTCTCAAAGTGCACATACCTGCAATCCCTTGCAGCAGCCCACAGACATTAAAAATGCTTTTCTTCATAATACTCTGCACACACATAGTAAAGACAGACACAAATGCCACGGTACAGAGAATCATGATTCCCATGGCTAGGAAAATAGCGGTCGCCTGCCAGAACCCACTGGCAATCTCATTGAAGTTTTCAGCGTAAGGACCACAAAGCGTGTCTCGTCTAGAAAACTGCAAGTGGGAGATTCTGGTGCAGCGCCCGTAGATGCCCAGAGTTGGATGGTAAGGCTCCTGCGATCCCCCTGTTCTGTTGTCCACATCCTCGGAGCTTGAAGGCTTTGCTTTCCCAATCAGCCAGTCTGCGCTCATGAAGGCAATGAGCTCTGCAAAAGCCACCACGATACTCAGGAGAGTCCACAGCATTGACCGACACGTTACAATGACATGACACATATTGATGTCCAGTGCTTGTGATCAGTGCAGCAGACAGTCTTAAAATCCAGGCACTGGGGGGAAAAATTAAATTAAAAAAGGAAAAAAAGACCCTAAGAAAACTACTAAGTCTGCTCCATCTACTCTTTCAACTCTCTCACAAAGGCCAAGATGAAGCTTCTCAGAAGAAAAAATGAACAGCCCCAAGTTTTGCAAGCAGTGCAGTCATTTGTTCTTTCTGTTTAGTTCCTCCTTTTTTCCTTCTGGGATGCTGAGCTCTGAAATACAGTTTTCTTTCTTAATATTCATACTGGCATATGACACTGCAGGCTGGTGGGGGAGGCTGCAAGGACTGCGCGCTGTTTGACATCACACACCTACAAGAAAAAAAACACATCTGCAGTGAGAGAAAAGTCATTTCCACCTCCACAAAGAGCCAAGATCCAGCACAAATCCACATCAACATACGAAAGCTCTAACAAGGGCACATCAAAGAGCTTGCTGGAAACCTCCCTGGTTTGTCCCAGTGGAGTAATTAATCTCCCCCCCACCACTGCCAATACTTATACTTACAGTATCTGCTGTGCCCTATCCCACTGCGGGTGTTTGTCAAGCACTTTGCAAGCAAAGGTCTCAGTAACACTCAGCGGTTCCACCCATTCCTACCACCACACCCCCATCATCATCTTCTGGTCGAAATTACCAAGGGTGCTGGCAGTCATCCAGCAAAATGTTAGGACACGTTTAAGCAGTTTCACAGATGTGCAGCTCCTGCCTTCAGTTTGGGGAAGCGGCATGGCATGCCTCTGGGACGGAAGCCGGACACAGCTCCACATGCCATTAGCACCTGGGTGCAAAGGGCAATAAAGGAACCTTGTTCCAACCTTTTGGGTTTCTGCTGACGACAGCTGAGCCAACCCCGCCTCAAGAGCAGGTGAACAGGATTACAGCTGAGGACAGTCCACCCTGTGATGTGGTGACCCCTTTGAAGCCTGGATTTTGCAGGAGCAGTGCTTCTTGGGTTCTGTATCCAGGTTTCTCACACACCTCATCTTGAACTGATGCCAATGCAGGCAGCCTCTGGTGAGTGGTTTACACCATTGTAAACAAGAATCTGTGGAAAAGTGCCCCAGTCACTGCCAAGTGTCCAAGAGCCCCACAGAGAGGGGTTGCCAGTGAGCCTTGGGCTTCCTAACTCATCTCAATTCCCCTCTTCCACAGTTCTCTGTATGCTGTGACTGCAGCAAAATGTTCCCCAGGGCTTTCCCCAGGCCTTACTGCTGCCTTTCAACAGTAGCTGATGACATTCCCAGAGTTACACTCATCTCAGTACAAGAGGCAGAGACCATTATACTTCCAACTCCTCTCCAAATATCAGCCTCAAAATAACAAACGGGTCATCGCACATGCCTCTGTGCTTGAACTGGAACAGAGTCGCCTGAAAGCAAGGGTGGGACCAGGAAATGCCCTCATGTTACCCCTTCCATGGTGAGAACATAAGGCTTCCAAGTTTTCCTCATAAAACCCAAAATACCAACATTGAACTGGAGGCAAGAGAGTCAAGAAGCAGATCTGGACCTTGCTGCTGCCAAACGCTAAGTGGTCAGCAGATGCCAGGAAAACAGACATCCCCAATATTTTTTTAGCTTTGTCATGGGGTTGGTATTTAATTTCTTAGAGGAGTTTTGAGTCCAGCGGCTGAATACTAGTCCCACTGAATGCAAAATGAAACACAGACCCACAACTTCACACATTCAGAATTTCATCCAGCAATTTCTACTCTTTCCTGTACTAGTAGTAATGAATCATCTAGATCTGCAGATTCCCTTGGTATAAAGGGCTGTAAAGGAGAATTTGTCTCCCTTAGTTCAATTTTATGGCATTGCCTCAAAAAAGGCAAAACATATTTAATTGTGCTTTTAGACATACTGAGATAACGGTTCAGCTAATTTTCTGTTTTTTTGGAGAGAAAGTGCCAAAGAAAAAGTTAATTTGCTCAGTATTTCCACTTTAAATAATGACTGAAATGTACGAAATGTCCACTACAAATCTATATACTTCTGATATCATCTGCATGATTAAAGAGAATTTAATTGAAAATGTCTTTATGTTTTTAAGAGATGCTCCAAAAAGCTCTAAAATCTGGTTTTCTCTGCAAGAACTACACCCATTCCTCATCTTTGTAATTCCAGGATTTTAATTGAGGTGCAAGGGACACGAGAGCTCGACATCCGTCATAGCTGTTATTGCCTACTCTGTACCTGCTGAATGATAAATACTGTTTATTGAACACAGATGAGAACAAAGTTCATATTTACATAGGTAGGTGGAAATTCCAAATGAACACTGGCAGTCATAAAAGCATGTCACTCATGAGATCTTATACTAAAAGAAAAGACCATACCATAGGGTTCTTTTCCAACTGAAACATAAGTGCAGGAATAAGTTGCATCAACATTTTAAAACACAGTATCTCCAGAAAAGTCACTGCATAAGCAAAACAGCCTGTCTAAAGATGATACAGAGGTCATGTTAAATCTTAGGAATTCACTGGAGCATATACTTCCCTGTTGTGCAACACAGGGAAACTCTGCAGGATCTAAAAGGTAATTAGTAGATGTCATTGAGAACTATAGTTCAGTACAGTTTTCATTAAAACCTTCACAACTGGGCTTTTCCCAAGCAACGAGTATTTTATTCTGGTGCAAACATATGCAGAGCAATGTACTCTTACTCATGTGAGAACTGCTGCATAAGTTTATTCTGAGAATGAGATAACCATTCACCTACAACTCCTTTTTGTTAGCAGACAGACAAAAACTTATAAAGCAGGATGGTGAATCCAGAGAATGGGCAGAGGCACTTCTTTCTGAGATCTAGTAAGGAAAGATTGCAGATAGAGTACTGGAGAAAAGTTACAGTTCAGTCACATTTATGCAGTTAACCTTATCCTTCCAACAACCCCCTCCCCCCACCTTGGCTTTCCCAATGAACCTAATCAACCATCCCACGGCTCCAACAACATGTTTGTGTCATTCCTGGAAGCCTTTCCAGCAACAGGCTGTGCTAAACATCTGTGCTTCATGAAACCTCACTCCAGCACTCTGCTCACCCCCTTTTTTTTTCATTTTTTGCTCAACAGAAGCTCAAGCTAGGCCCTTGCAAGGCTGAAAACTGGCTGTTTATTCTTCCACTCAGTTTCCCATCCCTTAACAAGTTTTTTCCATAACAGAACTGTATGTTCTTCACAGCAGGCCCCTCAATATCCATTTCTGACTGACTGTCAAAATATTTGCTTTGACAACCCAAATTTGATATATACAATGGTTCTTTAACCCTTTTGGTATTAAGTCTTGCTGAAGAAGCGGACTACAAAAAGTAGCCCCACCCCTAGCCATTTGGGCCCCCCCTTATTTTTACTGTTGCATTCAATTGCACAGGAGAGAAAGGAGGCCATCCATGCTAGGAAGCAAGGGTCCCAGGAGAGAAACAGCCCTGCATAGCAAATGCCCACCTGAGCTGCACACCATGGCAGCACAAGGGTCTTGGCAGAGCCATCCTGCCCCACTATATAACCCACCATTCCTTGCCTGGACAGCACAGCTCTTGGATGAGTCACACCTATAACCTTCAGCCTCATTTACTTGGCTACTGGAACCATGCTCATGGTAAGGCTCTGCATGAAGTGAAGTCTAACACAGTGTAAAGATGTTAGCGAGAACATCAGATCCTCACAGCACCCAGAGAGAATACAACTGAAGTTCTCAAATGCAAAAATCTTTTGGTTGTTTTAATCTAACAAAACAAACCATCTTAAAACATCTTTAAAACTTACTTTCTCTTCAGATGTAATTTTGACAGCCAGATACACTGCCTCTAGTCGTACTTTCACATCTCTAGTGAGGACTGTTCAGCTGTTGCCTTTTACTACACAATGTTCCTACATACAAAGTATATAAACAACATCTATTTTTCTGAACTAGATAAAGAAACACACTTGTCTCCATTTTGCTTACACTGCCAAAACCAGAAAGCTGATCCAAATTACAATATTTGAATTAAGGTTTTGATTTTAGCGATGTTGAGCTGCAGGACTTTGCTTTGGCATACCAGGCAGATAGGAAGGAACAGCTGCAAAGTTCAAATCTAAGTCAATCACATACCATGGCTGTTTATTTTAAAAAGGTGTCCAACAAGCAATGTACAAGAGAACCACAAGTACCTTCCAGAACAATGTCATGGTCAGTCCTTCATGCTCCCCTTATGATTTGACTTAAGACAGAGGCTCAGACTAAAACCTATGATTCAGCTTTCACCCTTTCCAGCCTAGTTCTCTCAGCTCAAGAGTGAGAATAAATCATCTTTAGATAAGTGGCTTTTGGCTTGACTTAAGCAAACAGCTGAATGGAAGGCCACACAGACTGCTGAAGCCGTCCTGGTTTATAAAATAAATCCGGGCACAGTTAGACATTTTCTTCTAAAGCTTGGTGAGGTCCAAAGCACCACTACATCAAGGAGTTTCTAAACCTTGTTTACAATACACAAGAGCTTGAGCACCTCATATTGCAGAATGTGCAAATCTTGGAAGCCTGGGATCTGCTTTCTCTGAAACTGTTCATTAGCAGTTATAAACTCTCTGAAAATGCTTTGAACTGTGAGAGTGTAAGGGGCTCCTATTTCTGTTGATGTTTGCAGACTGCTTGTTTAAAACAAACAGAAAGAAGCTCACACACTAAGACTCAATTACCTCAAGCTGACCCTCACCCAGGCCCACACGAGCAGCTTTCATCCATGAGTGTTGCTGGGCAAGCAAGCTGGTCAACTGTGAGCTTACCCTGCCTGGCAGAGTGAACCAACCATCAAACCACAGACACAGGAGGGACTACACTTAAGACAATGTGGTATGAGCATTAGAGATTACTCATTTTCTGGGTGAGTGATAAATGTGGGTAAACAAACTTCTCCTCCCATTTGGTCCTCTCACCATTTTTCCAGGAGCTGCCGTTCAGGAGGAGATGGCAGGATTCTGCCAACTTCCATGCAGTCTTCAAAGCAGTGGACTAGACAACAAGCAGCATTTCTCAGGAGATAGAACCATGAACACCAGCTCACCTCGCTAAAGGTGCACCTCTGCATTTCTATCCACACACACCTAGAGGTGACTTGCAAATGTAAGAAAAGGTAAATTCATCACATTACCCTATTACAAGAGAACAGGGACAAGGTTTAGTACTTAAGGAAAGACCAGTTGTCCTAAAAGGTTTGGTGTAGGCTTTCTCTGCAGAACACAAGGAGCTCAGCTGGCACTGGTTTCTGGTAAGCAGTGCATACTCACCACAGGAAGCACCTGGACCAGGAAGAGGGAAGGACACTTGGA